TAGAAAAATGCAATTTCTTGTAGCCACCATCATAAACTGAAAAATGAATAATAAAAAGATCTAAACAAATGGAGAAACATACCACATTGAATTAGAAGATTCAATATAGTTGAGTGTGGGCTGCGAACCAAAGCATCGCAGGCTCGATTCCCAGTCAGGGCAGATGCCTGGGTTGTAGGCCACGGCCCCCAGCAACCGCACATTGATGTTTCTCTCTCTCTCTCTTTCCCTCCCTTCTGTCTCTAAAATAAATAAAAATCTAAAAAAAAAAAGATTCAATATAGTAAAGATGTTCCCAAATTGGTAGGTTTAATGCAATTCCTATCACTATCCCAGCAAGATTTTTCGTAGATATAGACAAGATTACTCTAAATTTATGTGGAAAGGCACAGGAACTGGAATAACAAAAACAATTTTGAAAATAAGAATAAAGTGGGAGGAATCACTCTACACAACTTCATGTCATCTTACATATCTTATGTGTCCTCAGTAATCAAGGCTGTTTGGTATTGGCAGGAGGACAGACACACAGACCAATGGAACAGAATCGAGAGTCTGGAAATAGCCCTGCGCAAGTAACCAACTAGTTTTTGACAAAAGGTGCAAAAGCAGTTCAATGGAGGAAGGATAGTCTTTTCAACAAATGGTGCTGGAGCGATTGAGTATCCATAGAGGAAGAAAACAAAACAAAACAAAACCTTGACCCAAATTATTTTGACATATAAAAATTATTTCAAATGAATCAAAATTACATAAAAATTATTTCAAATGAATAAAAAAATTAAATGTAAAACTATAAAACTTTTAGAAGCTAACATAAGAGAAAATCTTTGGGATTTAGGGCTTAGTGAAAGGTTCTTAAAATGATACCAAAAGCATTACCCATAAAAGGAAAACACAATAAATTGAGGTTTTGATGTGTTGGTAAGATGTTAAAAAAAAAAAACAGGGAACCCTTGTATGTTGCTGGTAGGAATGTAAACTTTTTCAGCTGGCATGGAAAACCTCGATAAGTTAAACAGAGAATTACCATATGACCTAGCAACACCCACTCCTGGGTGTGCACCCAGAAGAACTGAGTAGGTGTTCAAACAAAAAGTGGCGCACAAAGGGTCAGAGGAGCACTATTTATAAGAGCCAAGAGGTGGGAAATACCAATGTTTGCAAACTGATGATGGATAAACAAAAGCAGTGCATCTGTACAACGGCATATTGTTCAGCCAAGAAAAGGGAATAAAATACTGATATATACTGCACCATAGGTGAACCTCAGAAACATTATGCTAAGTGAAAGAAGCCAGACACAAAGGCCACATAGTGTAGGATCTGTGTGAAATATGCAAAATAAGGAAGTCTATAGAGACAGAAAGCATATGAGTGATTTCTAGAAGCTGAGAGGAGGGGGAAATGGAGGGTGACTTTTTAATTGATATTGGGTTTCCTTTTGGGGTGATGAAAATGTTCTAGAACTGGATAGTACTGATGGTGGCACAACACTTTATACGTATTAAATGTTAATGGTAAATTTTATTTATCAGTATTTGACCACAATAAGAACAGTGCATTTTATTGTATATAAAGTATGCCTCAATAAAACTGGCACAAAATAATACAGTAATTGGGGCATTAATGGATGCTAACACTTGTAGGCAAGATTTTGCTGAAGATTGGATAGTTACATAGGCTCAAACTATCTCCCCACAAATATACTTATTCAATTACAAAAAGAAAGAACAGCATTACAGGGGAAAAACTTGGCAATCTTACTTGTGATATAATTCACTTCACGTGTCAACTTGGAAGGTGGTTTTGGATGAGAGTAACATTTAAATTAGTGACCTGTAATTAAGCAGACTGTTCTCCATAACAGGGGTGGGCATCATCCAATCAGTTGAAGACCTGAGTAGAATAAAAAGACCAGCCTCTGGTGTGGCTCAGTGGATTGAGCACCAGCCTGAGAACCAAAAGGTCACTGGTTGGATTCCCAGTCAGGGCACATGGCTGAGTTGCAGGCCAGGTCCCTGGCTGGGGGTGTGCCAGAGGCAACCAATTGAGGTTCCTCTCACACATCAATGTTTCTCTCCCTCTTTATTTCTCCCCCCCCCCTCTCTAGAAATGAATAAATAAAATCTTAAGAATAATAATAAGCCCTGGCTGGCATAGCTCAGTGGATTGAGCGCGGGCTGCAAACCAAAGCATCACAGGTTCGATTCACAGTCAGGGCACATGCCTGGGTTGCACCCCAGCAACCGCACATTGATGTTTCTCTCTCTTTCTCCCTCCCTTCCCTCTCTAAAAATAAGTAAATAAAATCTTTAAAAAATAGAATAATAATAATAATAAAGACCAATCTCTCCAGCAAGAGGGCATTCTCTAACAGACTCCTTCAGATTTCACCTGCACCACTGACTCTCCTGAGTCTCCAGCCTGATGGCCCACACTTGCCAGCCACCATAATTGGGTGAGACAATTCCTTATAATAAGCAAATAAATGAAAATATATATAACATAAACACATACATAGATATGGGTATATCTCCTGTTGGTTTTGCTTCTAATTGGAGAACCCTAATACAGCACTTGAATCCAATGATCAAAGTTCGTATCACCAGTAATAGTAACTGACACGCACATCCTAATGTGATGTAGTGAGAAACCTCCATTACTTATACCTTCCAAGAGGGAATAGCCTGAGTCTAATCCTGAGCAAGCAACAAGACAAACCCAAACTGAGGGGCATTCTATGAAAATGGCCAGAACTCTTCAAAAATGTCTGTATTGTGAAAGACAAAAAGAAATGATAATCTATTTCTGATTCAAGTATGAGCCCTTCAAGACAGTCTATATATTTTTGGCTATTACCCACCTTGTCCTTTATGCCTGACACACAGCAGACTACCCAAGCTCCACTCCATTCCTTAGCCCCCCTGCCTAGGACCTCCTCTGCCTCCCGGAACCTGATTCTGCACCCTCTGGAGCTGAGCTGTCCCTTCTCCTCCTTATCATCCTCAGCTGCCTGCCATGCTACACCCCTACCACCAGAGCACTCCCAGCTGGGCCTTAGAGATCCTGCTTGCCACCCCCACAAAGCCCCTTTTCTCCCTAATGCCGCACTGCCCTGCCTCATCCTGCAGGGTGCTTTATGCCTCTTGTAGAGCTGGAGGTGCTGACGTGTCTCTCCCTCCATTTGCCTTCAGCCAAGACAGCCTTCCCAGCAGGACTTCAGGGCTGGTCCAGCTTCCTAGCAAAGCTTGGCTTCTGCCAGTGTGCTATCTAGTCTCTGACAGGAACGCTGTCTTCCTGGAACACTGGGGTACATCCAGGCTCTCCTGGGGACCAGAGAGAAGGACCTCTTACTTCATTTCCATGTGTTTGGGGCCCTCCTAATGACTGCTGCCCTGCAGCTTTGCATTTGGCCTGAGAGCCACATGCAGATTTTGGATCATTTGCAGAAGGGGCAGAGCACAAAACCACCATGGGGAGGTGGCCATTGCCTGGATTTCCCAGAGCCCTTAGGGCTTGGGCTGGTCTTGCCTGGAGCACCAGGAGGGTCTATCTGCCCAGTCACCACCTACTGTTTCTCCTCATGCCTCTAAGAGGGAAGTGCACTCAGAATGAGGCTGGGCATGGGTTCAGCAGAGAACGGAGGAGAGGCGCTCAGACAGTGGGGACCACAGCCAGAGATCCTCCCGGTGGGCTGGGCCATTGGGACGGTGTCACCCTTGTGCATTTCCACCATGAAGTTCCCTGGGAGAAGGCCAAGTGAAGGCCGCCATGCTGAGTGCTTTGAGCAAGGGAAAAGGCTCAGATGCTCGAGAAGGCAGGGGCTCCCCTTGGGGCCAGATGGTGGGTGGTGCTGACCAGAGTCAGAAGAATAAAATGGGGAGGGGTGAGAACCCAAGTCTTGCTTGAAAGCCCACTCCCCACCTGCTGCCCCTCACTCTCAGCTGTCTGCAAGTTCTCTTTGCAGAATCTGAGTGCGGCCTCTGCAAGAAAGCTGGCATGATGGGTGACCCGGCAGCACAGTCACTGGGAACCCCAGGGCCCCCAGGCTCCCCATCAGGGACTGAGGAGAGGTTTTACAGACTTCCTAAGTGTTTGCAGCATAACACTGTCAAGTTGTAGGAAAAATCTGCTAAGATCAAGGAAGCTGTTTCACAAACAGAGATGTTTTTTCATGCTGCAGTGATGGAGTGGGGGTCAGTGCCACAGTTGAGGGCTAGTCTGCAGCCACTAGAAAGTTCTGCAGACTCGAAGGTCTCACTTCCAAGGCAGTGGGCAGCTGAAGTGCAGGGAGTGAAAGCCTGAGGTGGTGATCCTGCCCACCCTCCCCGCCCTCAGAAAAAGTGGGGAGGTTGTACTGCAGTGGCGGGGAGGCTGTCTGCTTTCTGGCCGGGGAAGTCGCTGCAGTGAGGGAGATCCCTGCTTGGAGTGAGTGGTCACTGAAGTGGTCGCACAAGCTGAAGATACCTGCAGGCCTGCGACGTTTCTGCAGTGACGAAGGGGCACTCCGCGAAGGAAAGGGGATGGCGTGCTGGGGATCGGGGTTCGCTGCAGTGATGAGGGAGGGTCACTGCAGAGATGGGGAGCCTAGCTGGAGCTGGGGGACGCGGCGCGAGGGCTGACGCTGGGATGGCTGTGGCCGCTGCAGTGCTAGGGGGCTGCAGGCTGAGCAGTTCAGCTGCATGTGCAGGACGCCTCCCCTCCGGAAGGACAGAGAGGGTGGGGCCTCGGAGGCCTCAGCCCGCCCGGCGGGGGATGTGGCTGAGCGGCGGCGGGGACGCGGTCGCTGCACTGCGGAGCCCTGTCTGGCTGGAGCCGCCGGGCCGGCGCGGAGGCGGCCCGCACACCGGGTGGGAGGGGCTGGAGGCGGAGGAGCGGCGGCCCGCCGCAGCGGCAGGCGGGGCCGAGGGCCGGAGGGGCGGCCCTTCTGAGCCGGGGCGGGACCAGCACCCTCAGGGCCGACGCCCCTGAGCGGACTCCGAGCGGCCACTGCGGGAGTCTGGAGCGGGAGCCCCGCAGGTGCGGAGCTGAGCGCGGCCCCCGGCGCAGAGGCGGCGCGGCTCACCTGGTCCCGTCCTGGCGCCCGCAGCTCCGCCGAGGACGCGACGGTGAGGCCGGGGCTGCCTGCGGGGAGGGGGCGATCCCGAGACCCGGCCAACAGCATCCCTGACGGCTTGGCTGGAGGGGGAGGTGGGGGGGGGGGCGACCGCAGCCCCCACCACACAAACACGCGCGCTCACACGCGCGCGCGCGCACACAGACACACCGATGAGCTCCGCCAGGGTGGGAGCGGGGCCCTGGACGGACCCCCGCTGGCCCCACACTTCTCCGGGCCGTGGCTCCGAAAGACCCCTCCTTTCGCCTCGCCACCTCGCTCTTCTGGTCCCGACCCCCGCCCCTCCGGCCCGCAGCCCCTCCCAGCGGCCCGGTCAGATGGGGCGCCGGAGGGAGGAAGCCTGCGGGCCGGGGCTGCCCGTCCGCCCCGCCCCCGCTGCCCCTTGCTGGGCGGGGGTCGCCCAGGAGCACGCTAGCCCTTTAAAACCCTGCTCGGCACCCAGAGCGTCTTCCACCCCCCGCCCGCTCCACTTCCGACAGCTGGCGGCTGCCGGGGCCCCGGGGGCCGCAGGTACGCGCGGCGGTGAGGCCGGGGAGCGGTCGGGGAACAGCTGTGAGGCCCCCGCCCCACCCCGCCCTCCGCCCCTGGAGAAGCGGGACCGCTCGGCGCCCCGAGCGCCGGTTAATCATTAACCCTCCGCGCCCCGGTCCCGCGCTGCCGGGAGCTGCGCGGCGCCCCGGCTTCCCAGGTAACGGGCGAGGATGCGGGTCTCGCTTCCCCCTTCCTGCCTCCTCCGCGCCCGCCCCTCTGCACCTGTCGGCCGGCTCCAGCCCCGGGTCAGCCCTGCGGGTTCCGGCCTCCTGCGCGAGTTAGGAAGCTCCCGCGGGCTTTCCCGCGCGCGGGGGTTGCCTTGGGCTCACCCTGCGCACCCCTTCACCCAGCACCCCTCCCCAGGGCACCATGCCCGGCTTGTACTGCCCCTCCAGCTGGACGCCGCTGCCCCTCACCGACTCCTGGGTCCGGGCCTGCGCCAACGGACCCTGCCTCAGCCTGCGGGCCCGGCTCACCTACCACAACCCGCAGGCGCAGCCAGTGGACGGTGAGGCCCGGAGGGGACGCAGGGCGCTGGGCAGCGGGTGCAGGGCGGAAGCCGACGCCGCTCGTGCCCCCCGCCCCAGGTGTGTTCGTGTACCCGCTGGCCGAGGCCGAAGTGGTGTCAGGCTTTGAGGCAGAGGCTGCGGGACGGCGGGTCTCCTTCCAGCTGCAGAGCAGGCGTCGTTCGCAGGGCGCGTGCTGCCGCGCACTGGGTCCCGCGTTGGGGGCCTCGATGCCCCGCCGCTGTGCGCAGGGTGAGTCCAGGGAACCCTGGCCGCAAGCCAGTCTGTTCCTGCACCTGCTTTGCTTGCGTCCCGCGCTTCCTCCTCCCCATCCTGCCCCCTCCGGCCACTGATTCTTTTTTCCACTCATTGATTCATCCCTTTATTCAACAGTTACTGAGTGCACACCTGGCACAGGCCAGGTGCTGGGGGACCGTGACCCAGGCCTGACCCAAGGGTTTCGGCCAGGGAGAGAGACACAGCAGGCAGTCACACACGTCTGTCGCCCCTTCTGGAGCACTAGCTCCGGAGCTGGGACAGGGTTTCAGTCACTTCCGAGTCCCAGCATCTCGCACCACAAAGGGGCTGGGTGGGGGCTGGGTGAGGATGGAAGCCAACTCCTGTGTTAGTTTTTATGAAGTGCACTTCATTCTTTTATTTACTCATTTGTCCATTCATTTGATTTCCGCACATGGGATTGACCATTCGAGTGAGAAGTGGGACAGAACCCAGTGGTGTTGAAAGTTGGCGTAAACCCAGCAGATAGCTAGAAGCCAGAGTAGGAATGTTCCAGAAGGAAGTGGAGCCATCATTTGACTGGTAGGAAGGGGGATGTGGTGAAGCGGGGAGGAGAAAGGCACTCCAGGCAGGGGCGATGGTGTAAGTGGAGGTTTGGAACTAAGTTGTGCTGGGGGATGGCTGTGAAATACCCCGTGTGTATTGTGATTTACATCTGACAAACCCAGTCGCTGGTGTCATCTCGTTTGAATTTAGAGCGGTATGTGATGAATCCAAGCGTAGTTCTCCTTCTCACTTTTATTGTGACAGAAGTAACAGCAATGGTCTCCTAGGTGTTGGGTGCTTTGCATGTGTTATTTCGTTTATTCCTCACAATGATCTTCGAGATATAATCACTATGGCCCCCCATTTTATGGATGAGGAAACTTAGGCTTCTCAAAACAAGAGAGTCACTAGCCACAGAGCCGAGGCTCAAACTGTGCTCTCTCCATGGTGACAGGTGTCCTCAAGCCTCAGCTGGCTGAGAAGGAAGCCCCTTTCTTCCTTCTTACCTCCCGTGTTTCCCCCCTTCACTTATTCAGCAAGCATTTCTCAAAAGAATGGATAAGTGATTACTGTGGAGAAGGGAGGTGAAGTAGGGCTGCCGCTGCGCCCACCGCCCACCTGGCGTTTCCATAGCAGCAGGGCTCCCCCATCTCCAAACAAGCCTGTGGTCTAGGTAAAAGGATGCACTTGGTGTGCAAACACAGCTTCACACCCTCTGGCAGCTTCCAGGCAGATTACTGCTCCTGAAGTCCTCTTGGGTCCGAAACTCTGAAGCCCTCCCAGTGGGCAGTGGGGAAGTCCTTTCTACTCATGAGCAGGGGCTTTGGGGGTCCCAGGCTACGGGAGTTGTCAGACCACAAGGGATGGCCCTTTAGGCAGATTATGCCCAAGGGTTGAGTGGATAGGGACAGACAGGGGCGGAGGGACAGAGGGGATGAGTCCCCTAGGACCTTGGCATGGTGTGGGCATGCACGGCCTCCTCAGCCCTCCCTTAGCAGTGTTGTTTGTCACTGCTCCCTTTTATAATGACAGCCAGATCCTCTCAACATCCATCCACCTCTCTTCCTACTGCCGGTCATCTCATGTCTCCATCCTGCATCACCCGTGCACTAGCCTGTGGTCTCTCCAGCCACACCAAGCACCCTTTGCCCAGGCCCCCCTGACTCAGTGCCTGCTCCACCCCTACCTTCCCTCATCTTTTCTGCTTCCAGCCCCCTCTGACCCCCTTTCTCACTCATCATAGGTCATCTTGTCTTGGATCTGGCCCAGTCCCGGTCCACACTGGTGCTGCCCACTGGCCTCATCACCCCAGCGGGCACCATGACAGTGACCCTGTGCAGCAGCCAGGCGCTGCCCTCAAGGCCTGATGGGGTGCTGCGTGTGGCTCTGCCCTCTGTGCTCACCCCACTGGCCCTGCCAGGTCCTCCGGGCGCCCCCAGACCTCCGGGGCTCTGTGACGACAGGTTGGGCCTATGGTGATTCTCTTCGTCCCTCCCTCGGCTTCTGTGGGTCTAGTGCGGGTGAGGGGGCTTTGGCAGGGTGCCCCTGGGATGGGCAGGGTGGAGAAGGGGCCAGTCAGCCAGAGGGTTTAAGGGTCTCGGTGGTGGCCCAGTGACTCTCCTTATGCTACCTTCCAGCCCCACCAGCTGCTTTGGGGTGGGCAGCCCTCAGGATGAAGGTCCGGCCTGGGAAGAGCCAGCTGCCCCTCCGGACGTGTTCTTAGGCCCTGCCCGCTGCCCTGCCCCGTACACCTTCTCCTTCGAGATGCTCGTGACTGGGCCGTGCCTACTGGCAGGTGGGTGCCCCTCCCAGCGTAGCTGACTGGGAAATCATTCAAGGCTCAGGGATGGGAGGAACACAGGACAAAAAGAAGACAGGGACCTAAGACATAGAAACCTCTAGTCTCACAGTGGGGGAGCATCCTCTGGACATTTCTGTACAACACACACACACCCCTCAGTTTGTCAGTGTCATTTATTTACATACCACTCCACTTACCGATGGGAAGAGAGAGGCTTTCAGTGAGAGCAGTCCAAATGGTGAAGTGGAGTTTCCTCGTGCGAGAAGTGGGGGAGAATGCTAAATCAGTAATTGGTTTGACCAGCCGGGAAACGAGCTGGGAATCTGCCTCCCAGCCCATGGAAGCAGGGAAACCCCCTCTGGTCCATTCCAGTCTGTGATCGGGCTGAGAGAGCTGAACTGAATCAGTTGTGGCCCTTGGCCCCCCACCTCCATGGTCTGCAAAGGTGATGTTTATGCTATTGGTGCTGACTCGGAGTGGGGTGATTATCACCCCTCCCCGCCTCTATGTCTCTCAGGCCTGGAGAGCCCCTCTCATGCTCTGCGGGCAGATGCCCCACCTCATGCCAGCTCTGCAGCCACCATCTGTGTCACACTGGCTGAGAGCCACCGCTGTGACCGGGCCTTGGAGATCCTGCTACACCCCAGTGGTGAGAGCCTGGGGCACACCGTGGGCCAGCTCTGACCAGCTTCAGGACCACCTGGGTAGCATTTTTCAAGTTTAGATGTTCAGGCTCAAAGCCAGATGGACTGAGTCAGCTGTGAGGGTGGGCCTGGTGGTGCAAGGAGGCTGGACCTTCCAGGTCCTCCCAGGACATTGGGACTGGGCAGTTGGGATCCAAAGACAGAGACTTCCCCGACAGAGTTGTGTCCCCTCCTCCCCAGAGCCCCACCAGCCACACCTGATGCTGGAGGCTGGCAGTCTGAGTTCAGCAGAATATGAGGCCCGGGTGAGGGCCCGCCGGGATTTCCAGAGGCTCCGGCGAAGGAACAGTGATGTGGACCGGCAGGTATAGCTGCCTGGGGGCCTGACCTGGCTGCTAGAAAGATAGAAAGAGGCCCCGGGGCTGGGTCCTGCTGCCAGCCCAGGTTGGAGCTGCACTGAGCCTGGCCCCAGATGCATCTGGGCTCCCATGTTCAGGTGTGGTTCCTGCAGCGGCGCTTCCACAAGGACATCCTGCTGAACCCCGTGCTGATGCTGAGCTTCTGCCCAGACCTGAGCGCGAAGCCGGGACACCTGGGCACAGCTACGCGAGAGCTCCTCTTCCTGTTGGATGGCAGCAGCGCGGCACACAAGGCCTGTGGGGGCGCGGTGTGGGCAGACCTGGGGTGGGTGGGACGGCGGGCTGAGGTGGGCTGCAGCTTGTGTGCACGCACACACTTGCTCTCGCCTTCTCATACACAGACGTTCACTCCCAGACTCCAAGAGCCTCTCCCATACGTAAAGTTGCATTCAGACACACCTAATCCCAAAGCCAAGTGTCATACACACATCCAGAGTCACATACATAAAGGTCTCGCACACACTCAGAGTCTCCCTCACATTCCCAGGTCCTCATTCCCAGAGTCTTTCTCAGAAGGTCTCACACACAGGGCCTCTCCCAGATTAGCACATCCACGCCCTCGTTTTACACATGACCTGGAAAAGGCCCACGATCTGGTGTTGCTTACTCTCTACCAGGGCCGTGGGACCTGCCTCATGCTGCCCTCCCTCCTCCTCCCCAGGATGCCATCGTTTTAGCCGTGAAGTCGCTCCCGTCCCAGACTCTCGTCAACCTGGCCATGTTTGGCACCTTGGTGCAGCCCCTCTTCCCAGAGAGCAGGCTTTGCAGTGATGTGAGTGTGGTCCGGGATCTGGGGGTCTAGAGGGGACGTTTTTGCCCCACGTGGCCCAGCCCATGCCTTCTCTCTCCAGGACACGGTGAGGCTGGTCTGTGAGAGTGTCGAGACCCTGCAGGCGGTGGGAGGTCCCCCAGACGTGCTGGCTGTGCTGGACTGGGCCATGAGGCAGCCCCAGCACAGGGCCCACCCTCGGCAGCTGTTCCTGCTCACTGCTGCCTCACCTACCACTGTCACTACCCACCAAACCCTGGAGCTCGTGAGGTGGCACAGGGGGGCAGCAAGGTATGGGGTGGGCAGAGACAGGGGCCTGAGATCGACCCCCTGAGAGGGTCCCGAAGGTCACCGGGCTTCTCTTCTTTCATCAGGTGCTTCTCCTTTGGGCTAGGGCCTGCCTGCCACCAGCTGCTCCGGGGTCTGTCTGCCCTCAGCAGGGGCCAGGCCTACTTCCCGAGGCCTGGAGAGAGGCTGCAGCCCATGGTGAGCTTCAGCCCAGGGCCTGTTCCCTACTCCTGGAAGTCCTTCCCCTGAGTTACACTGAGTCTCAACCAGAACCCAGTCCAGTTGTGGGGTCTCCTGGCTTCTCTCCCCCACTCCAGTCCCTACTCTCCCCTGAGATGCCAATCAGGGGAGGAGCTACAGGTGCTGCTGTGTGGGGCTTCAGGAGGCTAAAGGTGGAGGGGCATAGCCTCTGACCACCCCCCAAATACTATTCTTAGTGTGTCCGAGTACTGAGTTGTATCCTCGCTAAGTCTTGCCTCGTTCACATGGCACAGCTCAGGCCAGGAGACGGACCAAGCCCTGAGGACTGAGCATTCAGCCCCCTTGCTTGTTCCTAGCCCGGTTCCTTCCCCTGACCCCAGCCTGACCCTGATCCCCTCAGCCAGAGGCTCTGCTGTCAGCTGTGTGGCACCTCTTTCTCTCCCATGGCCTCCCTCTGGCCGCCCCTCACAGCTGGTGCAGGCTCTGCGGAAGGCACTGGAGCCCGCTCTGAGTGACGTCTCTGTGGACTGGTTTGTGCCCGATGCGGTGGAGGCACTGCTGACCCCCCGGGAGATCCCAGCACTCTACCCCGGGGACCAGCTGCTCGGTTACTGCTCACTCTTTAGGGTGGATGGCTTCCGGCCCCGCGCCCCTGGGGTAGGCCTGGGCTGGGGTGTGGGAGGTGGGCCTGGGGTGGCAGAAGCCCCTGCATCTCTTCCAAACCCTTCTCCCATTTCCTGTGCCTGTCCACCAAGGTCTCCCTCCACCTCCAGGCCTCCTCAGAGATCCACCAGGCCCCCCGAGGTGACTACAACCCACCTGCTCTCAAGGTCTTCCCCTGAGTTGTCCTTTGAAGTGTTGCCCTTGGCTTTTACCAAAGGTCACCAGATTACACAGACACAGAGAACAGCTCAGCATTTGCTGTGAGATTTTTGTCAAAAGTTGCTCATTACTTCACAGAGTGCCCTACAGAAGGCGTCATCGGGTTATTTCCTGTAACGTTTAGGGACAGATGGAGCACAGTCTAGATGAAACCTCAGGTCTCAGCTCTGCCAGGCACTAGCCATTTGACTTTGGGCTAGTCGAGTTGCCTCTCTGAGACGCTTCCTGGGACTCAGTTTTTTTCATAGGATCGTTGTAACAAGAGGTTACAATGTACACGCTCTTGGTAGGGTACCTGACACATAGTAGGAGTTGGAGACATGATAGTTATTTTTATCATGAAAAGCTTTCTCTTGAAGAAAAAGAACTAAGCATGCTTCTTCCTCTTCCTTTTTGATCATGAAAACTATATAATGGACTGTTTGCCTTTTTGCCTGGTTGCCAGGAAGCTCAGGGCCAGACCTGAAGCTCAGCCACAGCAGCTCTGGTAACCCTGTGGTTAGTACGGATGCTTCTCCTTCCTTAGTACTAGGCTTTCATTTCTGGTTTGTTAACTTTATTGCCTCCTGCAGTCGGCCACCTTAAATCCTGTTTGGAAAGAGGCAGCATCGAACTACAGTCTGGTTCTTTTCCCAATGGCTGTTCTTCTCTAGGGCCAAGAACCTGGCTGGCAGAGCTTGGGTGGCTCCGTCTTCCCATCCCCAGAGGAGGTGCCATCCGCCACCAGCCCTGGCACTGATCCCACTGGCACCTCAGAGCCAGTGGGAACGGGCACCGCGTCAGGAGAGCTGTCCAGCCCGTGGGCTGCTGGGGACTCAGAGCAGAGTGAGAGCTGGGTATATGTGTGTGGGTATGTTGGGGCGGGGGGGAGGGCAGTGGGAGAGGCCAGGGCCGGGGTCCATTCTCTTGCCTCCATTAGGTGCTGATGCTCTGACGGACCCAGTCACGGACCCTGGACCCAACCCCTCTTCTGACACAGCCATATGGCGTCGCATCTTCCAGTCCTCGTACATTCGGGAGCAGTATGTGCTCACCCACTGCTCTGCCAGCCCCGAGCCAGGCCCGGGCTCCACGGGCAGCAGCGAGTCCCCCAGATCCCAGGGCCCCGGCTCCCCGGAGGGCAGTGCCCCTCTGGATCCCCCCTCTCAGCAGGGCTGCCGCAGCCTTCCCCTGAGCGGGGAACCTGCAGGCTCCCGCTCCTGCCCTCTGCCTCCACCCCCACTGGCTCCAGTCAAGGTGAGATTCAGTTTGCATCCGTTCACCACAGTGAGCCCGCAGAGATGACACCAGGCAGCGTGCAATGACAAGCACAGGGTCGTGGTGTTCTGGGGGCTGAGAGTCAGGGTGGCTAACCCCGTCCAAGGGAGTCAGGAAAGCAGGGGCCATATCTGGAAGAGCAGGGAGAAGTGAGCCAGGCAGAGGGACACGGCATGAACAAACACAGATGAATGACCACCTTAAGTGAGAAACAGAGTGTGGAGCGAGATGGCACTGGGGCGTCAGAGCCCACGAGCAGCCTGGTCTTTCTCCTAAGGGTGGCGGCAGGGGACCAGGGTTTCAGGCAAAGGGGCATGTGGCCAGTTGTGGGTGTATGTGTGATGGCCAGGAGCTCTGCACTTCTTGACTGGTGGGTTCCGTTTCTCACATGCAGGCTGGGGCCTTGAGTGCTGAGGTGCTGGGCCGTCGACGCAGAGCGGCTCTGGCTGGCCGAAGCCTCTCATCACCCCCAGGCCGGGTGAACCCAGTCCTTGGCCGTCCCCGGCACCCCTCTCTGGGTGCAGCACCAGAAAGGACAGGCCCTGAGTCAGGGCAGCAGCTGGGACAAGGCGTCGATGACTCAGGTGAGGGGTGGATGGAGAGTTGGATTCGGACACCGAGATCTTGGGAAGGTGGAGTCCAGGGCTCCACCCTGCCCCATCCCTGCCATTGTCTCCTCAGGAACCCTGCTCTCCCCAGCCCCCATGGACTGGGACATGTGGATGGAGCCACCCTTCTTGTTCACGGCCGTGCCCCCCGACGGGGAACCGGCCACCCCGGCAGTGCCACTGCCTCCCCAGGCCCCACGCTGCCATGTGGTGATCCGGGCCCTGTGTGGGGAGCAGCCTATGTGCTGGGAGGTGGGTGTTGGACTAGAGACACTTTGGGGGCCTGGGGATGATGGCTCACGGCCTCCATCATCCCCTGGAAGAGAAGGCGCTTGGGACCAAGCACTCCATCGGCTGACAGCGGCTTCCGTGGTCCGGGACAATGAGCAGCTGGCTCTCCGAGGGGCTGAGACCATGGCGGACTGGGGTGAGTTGCTGGCGGGGCCCCACCAGGGACCAAGGGACCTGTATGGGGCGGAGTGGCAGAGGAGCCGGTCTGTGTGTCTGATCGCTCTCTGCACCTCACTTTGCACACAAACGACTTGAGGGGGCTCACCCACACTAACGAGGAAAAAAGGAGGCGGGGCAATGGGAAAAATGGATAATAAAAGGGATGGGAGAATAAAATTTTATTAAAGATGCACACCATGAGGTTATGTGCCTTTTCGAGCATGGGACCCAAAATTAGAAAGCTTCTTAGCAACCACCAGAGGGAAATGAGATCTTGTAAGGATTCTCAGTGCCCATAACATAAAAACAAATGTCATTCAGGAAGACTATTCAAGTCATACACGGTTAAAACTTCGGTTCTTCAGTTACATTAGCTATTCTCCAAGTGCCTACCAGTCACACATGACTAGCGGCTACCACACTGGATCATGCAGATAGAGAACAGTTCCATCATCACAGGAAGTTCTGTCGGACAGTGCTCAACTGCGTGGATGGAAAGGCGCCAGTCAGTGCTTCCTGAATGGTGGGCGGCCCGGAGGCCTAGCCCTGCTGTGGGTGGGAGGTTCAACCTAACCCCACCTTGTCCAAGTCAAAAAGTCCAAACTGGTCCTGACCCTGAGAAACTCCACTCCGTTCAAGGACAGAGAAGCTGTGGGAACACCGAGATTTTTTCTATGGAGCTCTCTGTAGAGGGTGGGTGGTGGGCGCGCACCCCATCCTGTTCAGCAAACTGCTCCCTGATTTCACAGGCCATGCCCGGAGGTCCCGGCTCCGAGCCCTTCAGACAAGCAAGGTCAGCTCTGCCCCCTCCTGCTTCACCTGCCCCGTAGCTGTGGATGCTGCCACTAGGGAGGTCCTGCCCTCAGCCCTGCAGGTGCGGAGCTCAGGTAGAGTCCCTCCTGGGTAAGCTCTTAGTGCTGGTCCTTATCTCACTGGCTATCCTCCCAGACAAACCTCAGCCCTGTCTCCTGTGCCCCTGCAGAGCCAGCTGAGCCCCCAGGCACCCCAGCATGCACCCCTCCTGCTTCTCAGGGCCCTCTAGATGCAGCGCTTCTCCCCACAGCTGTCCGCTGTAAAGGTAACACTCAAGTTTGGGGAAGTGGTAGGGAGCACCTGGGCTAAGGGGTCACCATGGCACTGCCTGGTTCTGAGGCAGGACTTCAGGGTGGCTCTCTGGCAGGTGGCTTGGATCCGGACCAAAATGACAACTCCAAGTCTGCTTTGGGGGACCCTGCAGCCCCTACTGGAGGTCCTCAACACATGTCCCCACAGCCTCCTTTGAGGCTCGGTCTGGGTCGCTGGAAGACTGCAGGCCCAGAAAGCAGTAGACTCTGCAGCCCCAACACGCGCCAGACAAGTGGTGGCCACAGTGAAGGCAGCGACCATGACTATCTGCCCTTGGTGAGGACTCGGGAGGTGGAGGGTGGTGTTGCCAGGGCCAGGGCTGTCTCAGCTCACTTCTCCCCCCACCTCCTCTCTCCTCAGGTGCGGTTGCAGGAGGCCCCCGGCTCCTTCCGCCTGGACGCCCCCTTCTGCACTGCGGTGCACATCCCACAGGAGCGCCTGTGCCGGGCCTCACCCTTCGCTGCGCACCGCGCCAGCCTCAGCCCCACCTCAGCCTCATCTCCCTGGGCACTCCTGGGCCCTGGTGTCAGCCAGGGTGACAGTGCCACGGCTTCCTGCAGCCCATCCCCCAGCTCAGGCTCTGAGGGTACAGGCCAGGTGGACAGCGGGCAGGGTTCAGACACAGAGGCCTCAGAGGGTGCAGGAGGGCAGGGTGGTGCCGACCTTCGGGGCAGGACCTGGGCCACCGCAGTGGCACTTGCGTGGCTGGAGCATCGCTGTGCTGCTGCCTTCAGCGAGTGGGAACTGGCAGCAGCTAAAGCTGACTGTTGGCTGCGGGCACAGCACTTGCCCGACGGCCTTGACCTGGCTGCCCTCAAGGCTGCCGCCCGGGGTCTCTTCCTGCTGCTACGCCACTGGGACCAGAACCTGCAGCTACACCTGCTGTGTTACAGCCCAGCAAATGTGTGAAGGTTGCCCACTGCTGGGGCTGGTGCCCCCCAGCAGACTCAAGTCACTGCCACCGGGGCTGGCCTCCTGGTGCTGGGAGGGGGTAGGTGGGTGGCAGCCTGCCCCCAACTGCTTCTCGTCCCCTTCCTAGGATCCTCTTGCCCCCACAGAAAGTGCCTGCTTGTGCTCTCTCCCACTCCTTCCCCCTGAGCTCTGTACAGTGCAGTGAAAGGGAGAGAGCCACAGACTCCAAACCCTACGCAATAAAGTGCCTCTTAAAACTGTCTGAATGAGTTATCTTCCACGTGCATGCCCCTCACAACCTGGTCTAGGCACCTCCATGTAGGCTGCACAGAAGTGGACTTGGTAAGGTTTATTGGGAAGCACACAGAGTCCATCCACACCCAGGGTCCAAGAATGGGGAAGAGATAGATTTCAGTGGGCTTTCTTGCTGTGTGGGATGCTCTTGGGGAAGGGCTGGGGGCCCAGCCAGAGCTGCAGCAGGATGACAGCGTGGCATATGTGCAGGGCAGCAGAGCTGTAGGACGTGGACGGGTACGTGTTCCAGGACAGCTCAATAAGCCCCAGCACCAGCAACCTGGAGATGAGAAATATGCTCCAGGTTTTGTCCAGTTTCTAGGCCCCAGCCCTGAAGCTCACTCCAGCCCCTCCGTGGTCATGGCCTTGGGGGGAGGAGCTTACTGACCCTTCCCCTCCCCCGGGTCGTCCCACCCAGTACCTGAGCAGGTGTGTGAGCCAGCGTGCAGGTGTGGCCCACAGGAGGTAGGGCAGTGTGTGGAAATACCAAACGTAGAACTGGTAGTGGAGAGAACGGCTAAAGCAAATGCCAATGAAGTTGGAGGTGAAGAGGGTAGAAACGATCTGTATGCAGTAGTCAAGGCCAAGGGCAGGAGCTGAAGGGGCAGGAGTTGGGGGTGGGGTGGGGGCAGGCAGGGAGGTTCCAAAGAAGAAGGGTAAAAAGTTTTGGGGTCAGATAGGCCCCTTGTTCTACCATTCCCAGATGCATATCTTTGGGCAACTTTCTTAAGCTCTCTGTACCTACTCCTCAGTCTAAGGTGGAGATAGTAATACCTAGGGCCATAAGGCCAAGTGAGTCCGTCCCTTCCTAGCTTACTAAATTAACCTCTTAAAGCCCTAATTTTGCCATTTGTAAATAAGGATAATAAAAATACCTCCCTATATCAGGGTGTCCTGTGAGCTTTAAATGTTACAGTGTATATAGCCCTGGCTGGTGTGGCTCAGTGAGTGCTGGCCTGCAAATCAAAGGGTCAAAGGTTCAATTCCCAGTCTAGGGAACATGCCTGGGCTGCAGTGTGGGGCTTGCAAGAGACAACCACACATTGATGTTTTCCTCTCTTTTGCCCTTCCCCTCTCTAAAAAAGAAATATATAAAATCTTTAAAAAAAAACCTCTCAGTATAGCACCAGGCAGAGGACGAGCACTCATAATCACTCATTAATATTTAAAATTAAGAATAAATATGTTTAAGTATGTAAATACTCAGGACAGTGTTTGGTACAGAGTAGGAGCTCTAAGCATGGGCCCTGCAGCTATCACGAGTGCCTCTTTTTCTCTCCATGTCACCAGCCATCCAGGGCTACCTGACCAGGGACCCCATCTGCACCTGGAGATGGCAAGACTTACCTTCCCATGACTTAAAGGATATGGTTGGGTGTGAGGGGCTGGGGTGGAACCTTCCTTTTGGAGGGATCCTTCAGCAGCGACAGGATACTTTCTCCCGTCCTGGGGAGAAGCCATTCAGACATTCATCAAGCCCCTGTCATGGGACAAGCTCTAAACTCACCTCCATGAGCTCAACATCTTCCCCCAGCAGCCCTAAGGCCCAGGCCCATCACTCCTCCCCCAACTGTGCCGGTGGCACTGCTCCCCTTTCTCACCTGTGCCACCTGCACAGAACAAAGAGCAAGAGCAAGGTGAGGTGGGTGGTTAACAGTGCCAGGTGGAAGGCACGATGCAGGAACAGGGTCTCGGGGAGGAAGCGCCAGTTTACTGTCCAGCGGAAGAGAAACTGGCGGCCAAGGTCAAAGGAGCGGGACAGGTAACCGATGGGGTTCTCCAGCAGGAAGGGCAGCCCCAGCACCACCTGAGGACAGGTGTGATGTCAGCAGAGCTGCCCAGGCTCACCTCCAGCCTCATGTTGATCAAGGGAGTGGGAACAGGGCAGAAGTCTCAGAGGTTCCTTAAATCCCATTAAGCATAGCAAAAAAGCCAGCCTCCCTCTCTCCCCTGCCAAAGTTTGGGGCCAAAGAAGCTGAGGACGCTGGTAATAACAGTGCTTTAAGTCATACATGGGTGGAGCTAGAAAGGCCCTAAGAGACCATCTAGTTCAACCTCCTTATCTTACAGCTAAAGAAACCAAAGCCCAGAGAAGTAGTGCCTGCCCAGCCCAGAATCAACTCCAAAACCGTTGTCTCTTGGCTTTGAGGAAGTCTCAAGGTGGGAAGGAGGCCAGACAGAGTGGCCTCCCCTTCATTAAAAAGGGGAAGGGGTAAGGTAGGAGTACCTGTAGGACAGCACAGATGCCCAACTTGGGGAGGGCCCCACGGAGGCCAAATTGTGTGAGGAGAAGGAACAGTAACCCAGGGGCAAAGAGGAGCACGTTCATCTTCACAGACACTGCCAGGCTAGGGCGGGCAGAAAAGAAGAAGGGTGGAGATCAGCTCCAGGGCCATGCATCCCACCCAAAGATGCACCCCCCACCACCATCATAGCAACCCCTCCCCTCCACCACCAAGCTCCAGGATAGGGCCAACACTCAGAACTGCTAGAGGAAAGGTAAGGTAGCCTGGGAGGGGGTAGGGGAATAGGGAGTAGACACCCAGTTTCTATGCCCAGACTGAGCAAGCAAATATATACCGAGTATTAAGAATGTTCAATGACCAACGCCAACAACAGATGCTGTCTGGAAGGAAAAAAGGATGGGAAGAGGGAATGTGTATGCTGTGGGTTGGGGTGGAGACTTTCTACAGATCCTGGATTCACCTATCAGGGCCCTGACCGATCTATATTGTCTGGCCACTTCCTTACTCCCTCTGCTGCAGAAAATTGGGAAGAAAGTGGTGGAAATACAAAAAGTAACAAAGGGGACCAGGTGGGTGGGATGTTGACCTGAAACAGCAGCAACCCCAGCCCCAGCGCTGGGCCAGCAAAAGGTTGATACTGAGGAAGAGCAGTGCCATAGCCACTGGGTCATTGAAGAGCCGCAACACGAAGATGGAGTGGACACGGTAAGAGGCACAGCACATGAAGAAAAAGACGAAGGGAGGTACCTACAAGGTGGGCAAAGTAGGGAAGGTCAGCTCACCAACCCAGAGCCATCACCACACTGTAACCCTCCCAGGTTGGGGACCCAGGTCCTGGTATTGTGGACTCGCCTTGCAGGTCTGGTGGTAGATCAAAAAGACAAGCAGCAGGGTGACCAGGTAGAGCACAGCAAAGATATGCTGGGCCATGCGGATATCAGTGCCCTGGCCAGTGACATAGTACAGCCCCATAAAGATGTACACAAAGCCAGCTGGGTACCTGAAAGATGAGAGGGAAGTGAGTCTGGGTGAGGATATCCAGCCTGGTATCTAGTCAGCCCCTCACACCCTCGCTGAACCGCCTATCTCCACTCACACCAGAGGTCCAGTGTCACCCTGCAACTGGGTATAGTCATAGGTGCCATTGATGACGCCCTCTACCTCAGCCATGTAGGCCTTCCAGTCAATCTCTGTATCTGGAAAAGGAAAAAATGGTGTGGTTACTTCCAAGTCCAGAACTTGTCTGCTCCTGAGACCTCCAGCCCATTAAAGCACAGAATTCCAGTTCATTCTCAGAACTTCTATCACAACCTCTGACCTAAATGTATACCTGACATTCTTTGGGTGAACACAGGCACCTCAAACTCAACATGTCTGTGATTGAACTTATAATCTTCCAGTCCAAACCTGCTCTCCTTCCTGGATTCTATGAATGGCACCATCAACCGCCCAGCTGCCCAGGTCACAAACCCTGAAACTTCCTCCTCTTTCATTTCTAAACCCCACTTACCATGTCCTGTCTATTCTTCATTCTACATACATCTACTGTCTCATCCTTCTCTACTGTTACATATGCATATTTGGGCCTAACATAACCTGTACCCTCAATCATGCAATAGCTTCCTAATTAGGGCTCCTAGCTTCCACTTTCACCCCACCACGATATATTTGCCACCCTGCAACCAGGAGCTCTTCCTGTAATAGAAATCATATCATGTCTCTCTGCTTAAAACCCTTCAAAGATTCCTAAGGTTCTTAAAATAAAGATCAACCTCTATTATTCCCCTTTTTAGATGAGTAACCTATGAATTACTGAGGTTAAGTGACTAGCTAAAGATCAGTGAGATGGAAGGGTAGAGTTGAAACTGGAGTTTATAGGATCCTAGATTATTAACTACCATGCTAACTATGTCCTTAACACAGTTTAGACTCCTTTATGATCTGGTCTCTCAACTTCTTCAGTCTCACTTCTTAGTGCTACCTTCACTTAAGGTCTATGTTCCAGCGCTAAAAAAGACCTCAGAATTGGGCAGATTAGACCCAGCTGGGGAAGACACAGAGACAAGCAGTAGCAGCAGTACATTAACTTGGACTGAGGTTTTCTGCCTTCCAGGCTGGTTTACTTTCTTGACCCAGCAAGTTGTACATTCAGGGTGGAGGACCAATCTCTAGGATTGCTCCTTCCGTCATGGGGGAGGGATTAGGATCAGGTTTGGTTTTCTGTGGAGTAGGCTTGGAATTTGGGGTAAAAGGTACGGGTCTGTAATTGATGACTAAGTGGACCTGGGTCTGGGTTTGAGCTACGAATCCGAGTCCCGGTTTAAGTGAGGAGTTCGATTCTACCTCCCTCCCGCCTTCTCCGCTCCCCTCTCCTCCCCTCCCCCTCGGCGCACTCACATGCCACCCTGTGAATGACCCAGAAGGTGATGCCCACCTCCGCCAGGCAGAGGCAGGCAGCCACCAGCAGCG